AAAGAGGTGCTTTTTCTTTCATATTACATATTTACCTTATAAGTGGTATAAATATTAATAAGCAAAAAGTTCAGAGCAACCTTTATTTCCAACCTTTTGTTTCCAAGACATTTATTTTAAATTTAAGTTTTTTTACTCAAACTTCCTTCTTAAAATTAAGATGCGTGTTATACGCCTGTGCATGTTATACACCAATAAATACAATAATCAGATTTCTCCAGCTTAGTGGTTTTCATATGCATTGGAATTATAACCCTTTTTCAGCCATCATGCTTGTTGCTAGCTGGGATTTCTGGAAGTTTTATTTGGAACACAACAGGGAAATAAGTTGGAAAAAGCTGGATTATATTAACAATAAATGTATAGTACTCTAATAATATCCAAGTAAAAGTGAGCGTTGGATGTGTATGCCCTATTAATATATAATGCAATTCTGTATGTCTATTCAGGAGACATTCTAATTCAGTTAATATAGCTTACAGGTAGTCCTCGTTTCGCGACCACAGTTGGGACTGACAACTTGGTCATTAAGTGTAGTAGTCACTAAGTGAAACTGTGACTATGCTTACAATCTTACTTCAGCTTTCCTTTGCTTTACAACCTGCAAAGGTTGTAAATGTGAGGATTAGTTGCAAAGCTACTTTTTCATCACTGTCATAGCTGCGAACAGTCGCTACACAAGGCAGTCACTAAATGAGGACTACTTATTCCCAAATACAATTGTGTGTAAACATTTAGGAACCCCTGGTTAAATTACAACTTTCAGTGGCTCCTGACACAACCTCTACATGATACAAAATTAAACAGATTTTTCTGCAAATTTGAATTCATATGTATTATTTATATACAGTTATTTACATATTCAGAAGAAGAAAACAGTGAATATGACAGATGCAAAAGTTTGGAACCCTTTCAGACAGTATTTTGAAACATCTTTGGTAGAAATAATAATTTCTAAACATTTCTTGTTAGTAATCCTAAGATATTTTCTAGTTTTGCTTTTGGAATTTTTTCCCACTCTTCCATGCAGAACTCTTCTATCTCAGAAATATTCTTAGGTCTCCTTGCATGCACTGCATGTTTGAGATTATTTTCAGTAATGTTCAAGTCTAGTAGACTGTGAAGCCCATTCCAAAACCATTATTTTTCTTTCCTGTAATTATTACATAATTGAATTGGAGGTATGTTTCAGATCATTGTCTACAATTTGATCAGAGTGCTTAAACTTTTGCAAACAACTGAAAGTGTGCTTAGAATTGTAGCCTGTTTTTATACGTACATTTGAAATAAATAACTTTTGCTCAAAACAGGATTTTTTAAATTATTATTATTTTTTTGCAGGAGGGCTTGGACTCCTAGCTGAAGTCCAGCATAAGTCCTCAATTTTAAAAAATGACTCAATTTTTTGCAGGGTTGTAAGGTTCTAGGGGGTGCAATGAAGCACCTCCTTCCAAACAAACATAAAGCAGGCAGTAATTGAGACTTTTTAACAGCTGTGATATAAATGTCTTAATAGGCTAAAATCACACTATAAAATATTGTCTAATCCTGATTTATAGATTAATGCTACTTATCTAGTTTTTTTTTAGTCTGATTTTGTTGGGTTACCCTTCTTTAAAATTCATGGAGAGCCCAGCAATTTCTTAGACACTTTCTGTACGTGTGTGTGTGTGTGTGTGTGTGTATTTTTTTTTTCCTGATTGATGTTTTGTTTCTTTTACAGGATCGATATTGCTACAGCAGAAAGATTCTGAAGGAAACTTACCACTTGATTACATAAAGTGTCCAGCAACTAAGCAACATCTTTTGAATATTGTGAAGCCACAACAGACAGTTGAGGAATTTCATGATCAAGTACAAAGTAATTTCTATAATCAACGGAAAGAATTATGGATAATCTTATTTTGCAAGATGTTGTTAAATCTTTGTTCTGTATATGACTTATTTAGACCTTTTCCTATTACCTTTAAAAAGCTTGCTTGCTCAGATCCATTCCTGGTGACAGATGACTGTTGTAAACTTAATATGAGCTCTTCTAGTCATTGGTTAATAGATCTTTATTTTAGAGAGCTTGAAACTTTTCAGAAACTCCCAGAATATCTTCAGAAAACAATTGAGGATCTTAAAAATGGCCCAGAAGAACAGAAACATGCTTTTTCCATCATGTTACAGCAAATTATAATTACAATTCAGGTGTCTGGCACATACTTAGCTAACAAACTTCAAAATTAGTATGCCTTGCCTAAAATTCATAATCTGAAATATTCAGTGGCAATTTTTTTCCTGGATAATTGCTTGTCCCAAAACATGAAAGGTTGAAGACAGGCTTAGTTGTAAGCCATAATAGAGAACCCTAGTATGTGAATAAACTATTATGACCATCAACTTTAATGTTCCCTCTCTTTTGTGTAGTGGTTGAAGAGATTTCTAGTCTTACCCTAACTATAGTATTTAGTGATTTCTCAGTTCAGGAACTGTAGTTTAAGAACATACCAGGATTAGACAGGACAGTGTGATTTTTGCTATGTTAGCCTGAGCCCCAACGTGGTTCATTCACATAGCAAAAAAATAGCTTTCTGTTACGTGTATGTGAATTCTGTTACAATGCACAAGTGGGTTAAAATAATTGTTCTCCATTAATTCAGTTTATCTTCAAGCAATCATTATATAATGATGGTTTGATTGGTATACTCATTGATTTTCAGAATATTGGTCTGTAAGTTTGCATATTGTTTTTGGCAATGACGTATTTTTCTTTATATTGGAATAAAATCAATAATTATAACAGATCATTTTTTGATATAACATTCTAGCATATATACTTTTAAAAAAAAAATAAATGTCCCAAACTCATGAAAATATTTGTGCTTCATTTTTTAAATTTATTGTCTTGAATATCTGTATTTCTGCAACTGTAATTGCCAGGGTTGCTAAACTCTATTTTATGTTCAACTATATTGAATGAAAGAAGTGGCTTTCTTTTGAAAAAGAGTGGTTCAGGAAAGTAAAATCCCATCTCTGCTACTAAGAAATACCAAAGGGCAATCTTACATCTCTTTCTTTCTTCATATCTGTGTCAGCTGAGTTCATAAAGCATGCTCTGCTGTAATGTGTTTTGCTTAGACTCCTCTCGGAATTATTTTATGATAGTAGCTGGGTGCTTTTCCCATTTGCTTATGCAGGCAGAGCCAGTTTTTCCTTGTGTCCCTGAAGCCTAGAAGCATACAAGACAGCAACCTTCTAGCCAGTTAGGATTCCTACTTACGGTGTGCAGTTCCTCTGTAACATTTTCCCCATTCATCTTTCTTTCTTGCTGCCTTTCTTTCCAAAAGCCCTCTCCCATGTGAAGGAGTGGAGCCACTGCTGTTGAGAGAAGAAGGGATCCCAACAATTCTCAGGAAGAAAGGTACCCATCCCATTCCCTTAGATGTATGGATTTGTTCTCAGTTCCCACACAAGAACAAACAGAAAGAAGCACCAAAGGGGAGGGTAACCAATTCCACTTCTGCCATGCTTCATGAAGCCATTCTTCCATTCATCGCTGCTGATGGAACAAACTTTCTTTTGGAACTGTCACCATTATTAATCCTCATGGTTCTTGTACTTCTTGGGGTCATATGACTTCAGAGAAGTCAGCCACAAAGTTACATTACTGGCAAACAACTCTTTTGAAGAAGCAGAATCATGGGAAATGTCACCTAGTCTAGCAGCAGAAAACATTGCCAACACAGGCCATTCACAAAAGCTTTTGCAGTTCAGGTGCTTGCAGTCCTTTTCAGGATCCTCCTATTCCACTCTAGATGTCAAGAGTGTGCAATGTGCAATGCCAGACACTAAGGGGACAAAATGACCACACACAGCACCAACATAAGCATGGCACAGAGATCTTTTGGTGGGTATTTTCTCCAGTAAGTCTGCCTCTCTTCCCTCTCCTCAAAGGGACAAAGGAAAACTCCAAGTTATGACCCCCACAGAAAACAGGCTGTTCTCACATGCTGACTTTCTCGAAGTAACTAAAAAGCCATCCTGGCTTCACCCTTAAAAGAAAGCACAGGTAGCCTTGCTGGGCCCAAACTCATTCCTCTTGTTCTCTCTAGCCTCCACATAGATCTCAAGGTACAAGGGAACTGCTACTCTTCCTGTGAAGATTGCCTTATCAGATAAAGCAGCAGGTCAACCCTTCCCCATTTCCTACTTCATATCTTTTAATAAAAGGCAGGCATAGCCTGTTTGCCTAGTGCTAGCCCCATATCACTGTGGATGCCTGCACAGCTCTATGAGGTTCAAAGTATCCCTCACAACGTGTCTTGTCCCAAGTTTTGAAAATGGAAGTAGCACTTCTAGATGCTCCAATCTGCTATACACTCCAGTCAGAGAGGTGGCTCCACTTGGAATTTATTCAATATGCTTCGTAGTGTCCAAGAAAAATTAGGTCCATCCTGGACCTTAAGTGCCTAAACTGGCAAGTACCTCATGGAAACCCAGTCAGTTCTAGCATATCTACAACCCATTAGCTAGCTGTTAAGTAGCCATTTGAGTGTGGCTTTGTGCTTTGACTCATTTCTGTTTTATCAATATCTATGTTCTTCCTCAAAACATACTGGGATTCAGATTTTGCAATGAAGTACATGCATGCTGTTTTTTCCTTTAAAAAAAAAAACATTTTCAAAGCTTTGGTGGTTTCTATGGATGAGCTATCTAGACTTTTTTCAGTTGCATTTCAAAGCAGGACATAATGCTGAGATGGCATTGTGCTGATTGATAATGCTGGGATGGGGTGATCCTTCTTCCTCTCCCAGTGCCCTTCTAGATCATTGATCATTATATTTTTCTGGACCAACTATGGGGATTGGGAGTTGGGGAGGGAGGACGTTGGAGGTCAGGGAATCACCCCTGAAGCCCCTACTTTGCATGGGGTTGTTTCAGGGCTTTGCATTCTTACCCCATCCTGGTTAACATCTACATGGAAGCAGCAGTGTGAGCTGTTACGGACAGGTTTAGTTAACGCTCATGTAATACCTCTTCTCTGAGAACTGCACTGATTATTAATAGGTTTCTGGGTGCAATTCAAGGTGCTGGTTTGTTACCGGTAAAGCCTTAACATTGCATAGGGCCTGGTTATCTGGAGGATTGCTTGTCTCCTTTGGTTTCTGCCTGTCCTGTATGATCACAGTTGGCATGCTCTGTCCAATTAATTAAACAGGGTCACCTAGTGGAAATCAGAAGCATGCCTTCTCTTTTGCAGCCCCTACCCTCTAGAATAGTTTCTCCCCAGAATTTTGAAATGCCGCCCTACCCTGCCTGCCTTTAAATGAACCTTAAAAACCTGGCTCTTCCCCAGGCCTTAGTCTTGGGAGGTTGTCAGGCCCTTTTAGACTAGACGGCTTATGGGGCAGGGGTTTTTTATTGTTTCCTCTGAGCAACTATCATTCTTTTCTGATACTGGCACATTTCTGACCTTTTTAAATTTGTAAACCACCTGGAGTCATTATGGAGTCATGTGGCCCTCAACATTTATTTTATGAAAAAGTACATACATTTATCCTACTGTTGGAGCACTGGATGATTCATGGGCTTTGCCTCCATTGCACCTGCACAGAAATGGGGCAGTGATACTTTTCTGTACCATATAGCAACTCCTCCAATGTGATGTAGTGGGAAGGAAGCCAGAAAAGTGAGCAGTTTCCATTGTTACCTCCAAAATCTATCAGATTTCCCTCAATTTGGATTCCAGTATTAGGATAGGTCATAGGAAGGTAACCTTGGCAACCATTTGGTAGGTTCATATGAATATTTTTCAATGAAAGGATGAAGACAGCGGACAGACACAAGGGCTTTGCTCAATCCTTGCCCTTCTGGCTGACTAAATCAGTCAGGTGAGGTTGGGTGATGATCAATATCTTCCTGTGCAGAGTGTTATGTCCCACATAAGACCTTTGTTGTAAAAGCCTTTCCTGGACCCAGAAAATTGTTCCAATTATAGGTCAGTCTCAAATATTCTGTTCTCGGATAAGGTGATTTTTAAAATGGTGAGTTCACAACTCGAGTTACATCTGGATGAAACTGATTTTCTGAAATCATATTAATTGGGGCTTCATCTGAGATATGTTACCAAAACATATTTAGTCATGCTGGGAGATTATGCTTGGTGCCTTTCAGTACCATCAGCCATGTTATCTACCTGGGCCCTCTGGCAGGGTTAGGTATTGGAGGTATTGTTTTGCTATGGTTCTGGTCTTTCCTGTACCCTTGGGCCCTCTGGCAGGGTTAGGTATTGGAGGTATTGTTTTGCTATGGTTCTGGTCTTTCCTGTACCCTGAAAGTGGTGCTGAGCATAATCGACTCATGCTATCTGCTATCTTCTCTATCTCTCTTCCTTCTATCTGTCTCATCTATCATCTATTTATATCATTCATTCGTTCACATTTCTAAAGCAGCCCAACCTCAGTACCTTTGAATGCTAGTAATCTTGACAATGCCAGATGAGGGAGAACAAGCTAAAAGTAAAGTGAAAGTGCTGTCATTAAGGAAAGAAAGGGATTGGGATTGAGGTGAAACATGATTTGGATGTGGTTAATTCCTGCAGAAAGAGGTGGTTTCCCGTTTGGAAGTAATCTTGCCTTCAGCTGTGACTGGGTTTGCAGATGGCAGCAGGGAGGAGGAGCATATTTCCATAATTACGGAGTGTGCCAACTATGACCTTCCTGAGCTGGTCAGAGTTAGCAACGGTTATCCATGCCTTGGTTACAATCCATCTTGATTATTTCATGCTGTTCTGAAAATTACAACTGATGCAATGGCCTGGCTGCTGACTGGTACAAGGTATTGGGATCAATATGATGCTTGTACTTAAATATTTTCACTGGTTGCCAGTTGCCTATCAGGACTCTAACGGGGTGGTGGTGACTTTTAAAGCCCTGAACAGCTTCAGGCCGGATGATCTCTAGGACTGTCTTTCTCACCATGAACCTGTCCAATTAAATTAGATCAGTGAAAAGGCCATTCTGAAGATGCCCACACTGCCAGAAGCTTGACTTTTCATGCAATGAAAAAGGCCTTCTGTGTGACTCCCAGGGTAGGGAATTTGCTCTTTAAGGAAGTGCATTTAGCTCGCACTCTCCAAGTGTTCAGGAAGATAGGAGACAAACACAAACTCTTGGCCAAGCTTTTAATTAATTTTAATTACATTAATTGTTTCATTTTATACATTTTATGGTATAAAAATTTAAGCCCCCTTGAGTGTTGGAATAAACAGAAAGGTGGGATATAAATTAATTAACTAAATAAAAACAAAATACAGTGATTCAGCTAATTGTGTTACTCTTACTCTACAGTACCTAGAGCTTCTCCTACAATAAGAAACTAACACAGTCTGCAAGTCCAAAACAAAACAATACAAAATAGTGGGTTTCTTAGTGGGGGAGAGGAGTATCTTTGAGTCAGCGCTGATGCCTTGTGACTGCCTGGACAAGTCCATGCAATATTTTTCAGCAGTAGCTTGCCATTGCCTTCTTCCTAGGGCTGAGAGAATGACAGGCCCAGTCACCCAGCTGGCTTTTTGCCTAAGGCAGGATTAGAACTCACAATCTCCTGGTTTCTAGACTGGTGCCTTAACCACTACACCAAACTGGATTTCATAAAATAGTTGCTAAAAGATAAATACACATTGTATATTAATAATATAATCAGGAATATTACAGAAGAATCATAGATGTGGGTATAATTTATACATTCACATAGAATTTAAATACATTAGCAAGTAAACAGTAGAAAGTGAATTATCCCAGTTCAAAAAAGGTTAATGAAGGTTTGTGAATAGTGATTAACTGAATTTTGCACTGG